CGAAAGAATCAAAGACTTCAAACCCTACACTGCAGAACCACATTCATTCTGACTCCGTACTGCTGCAATTGTGTTCATCATCTTGTTGATGACATGGCTCATGAAATATACGCTTAACTATTAAAGAAACCTGTTTCGGTAAAAAAACACAAAAAAAAGAGCATTTCCATATACAAGTTATTTGTTGCCAACCACTACAATTAGAGTTGGAACGAGTACAATTATATCAGCTTCCTATACCTCCGGCATGGACTCGATCTGTACACATAACTCTCATCGCTCGCGCCATAGTTTTCCGTTGCTAGCATGGCAAGTACCTAGTACGCTCCATTCGCTCATTCCATAAACTCCCAGCATACAAAATCAAACTCCTTCCAGCCGCCTTGGAAAGGACTTCGCCTTCTCTCTTCCTTCTAAACAACCCGGCAGCCAGCCTCCCGCCTGCAGCCACTGCCTGCCTGCCTGCCTGCAGTCTAAACAGTATTTGCCTTCTCGTCCCTCAGCGACACTTCAATCCTATTTTTGACACTCCACAAAAACTGGCATGCGGCCAAACCGTCCAGCTGTTTGAACGTCTCCTCCCTTTACCGTAGGATGCCGCAAAGAAGCAGATGTCCTCCCATTACTGTTGGATGCCTCACAGCGAATCTCAAAGTACGAGATCGATCCGCCTGGTTTTGGAGATCCTGCCTCAAATATCCTTTGTGAAATTCATCAAGTTATTGTCCTTGCTCACTTGACAATAGAAGATAAGTCTGTCGAAAACAAGTGAGTCTGTTTTTGAAAATATCATCAAAATGCCGTACTTACATCAAGTTCGAGGGTTGTTGTAGAACTTGTCACCAACCAAAATTTGCTGCTTCCGCTTTGTGAACAAGATGGCCTGCCTCCCATTGAATGATGTAGTGCCTGCCGCACTCTTCGAGCGAGCCTTATCTGTCTTCCCCCCCCCCCCTCACCAAGCGTCCGATCTGCCTTGTGATTCCAGAGGGCTCTATTGCGCTGCCAGCCGTCAGCGTTCTCGGACCAAAACCACGACCGGAAATCCTTCGTGAAGAGAGTTGGTGCCTTGGCGCCTGCTTGCCTGGCAGGTCGTGCAAAAAGCGGCTTTTGCAAGGAACCAGACCTGACCCTGGACATCACGCAGCACATGCACATGCACATGAAAGCCAAGGTGGGAGACAGGGATGGTCAAAGCACACGAAACCAAAGGTTGGACACAGGGATGCCAGACAGTGAGGTGGAATATGAGCAAGACGAACATATCAACAGCACACCCTCTCTATGACGGTGAGATGAGCTTCCTGTTCATTAAACAGGCTGGCGACAACGAGTCTCTCCAAAACACCGCGCCCTGAACTGAACATCCTAGGACAGACGCGTTCCTCTCGGACAACATGAGCAGAGAGTCTAACACCACACCCTGTGTTCGGTGATGAGACGAGCTTCGTGTTCATTAAACATGCGTCAGCAAATGAGGCAAGCTTCATGTTCGTTAAACATGTGTGGCAGTAATGAGGGGCGATCACCACACCCTCGTTGCTGGCAATGAGGGGCCATCACCGCACCCTGAATCGCCGAGGACGGACGCGTTTCTCTCGGACACCGTGAGCAGATTCCGAAAGTCTATCCAAGACACGACGACGGATCATATAACGAATGAGGAGAGACCGAGCTTCACTCCACTACTCAAGATTCCATATGCATTTCGGACACGTTCTGGCCAAGGTCCATTGGGACGAATCCAACATTTTAAATGTACTATGCGATCGATTACGAGCTCCAGGTGCCGATATAGTGTTTGTGTAGTGGTGTGAGGCCCAATGCCTCCCCCCTTCCCTCTAGGCCTCATTGACCCATTGACAGCAGTGTTTTGCCTGCACGATGGATGGGGCGGGCACAGGGTATTATTGCCGCTCAGCCCCTGAGTGACGATGGCTTGGCATTCTCAACACGGAGCTGAGTGACGATGGTTCTGCCATCTGCCAGCGCAACAAGTGCAGGCCATCACCGCCTTCACCACCTTCACCCCCTCCGTTGGGAGGTGGCAAAGACACTGCTGCCCAGTTCAGCAAGGAGGGCAATCTGCAGCCCCCTTCGATCGATCACCGATTGACAAGCAAGACCTAGGAACAAGAGAGTGAGTGAACAGGTCGTGTACCAGCGGGCCTAGCACAGTTGGTACACCCACGAACTGTTGAAATACAGACAGACCCAAGGTTGAATCGGGCCGGAAACAATCAGACGATGACCAGAACAAAAAATCATTCTGAATTACCTGGGGCCGGTCAGTTCAATGACCATTGACCATGATATCTCACGGCCGTCGCCCTTTAAAAAAAAAAATGTTAAAAAGAAAGGGAAAAAAAAAAAAAAGGGTGAACAGGTCGCGCACAGCATACACACATGGAGACAGACAGACAGACAATCCAAACTTTAGACACAAAAAAGTTTGGTCTGTGTGCGAGTCCGGGTGGGTAGCGAGGTTTGTGTGCTCTCTCCTTGACGGATCACTGGGTAGTGGGTGGCCCCGCTGCACCGTCAGTAGGGCTGACCCAGGCGCGGGAAGCCCTCTGGCGGACATCCTCCCTGGGTCATAAACCCCGACACCTCTACAACCCTTAAAAAAAAAAAAAAAAAAAAAAAAAAAAAAAAA